TATATATATATATATAACAAATCATTCATCAAAAGGAATAACATGCACCAACAAAAAGATCTAAGATTATCAATTTTCTCAAATCACAAAAAAAAAAAAACATAACCCTTGGGGTTCTAGTCTTAAAAATCAGCATGAAATGTCTTGATGTTAAGTGTGTTACTTGTTCTATTAATTAATAATCGTTGCATATGGGTGCCAAATGACTGTTGTCCATCATGATTAATTTTAGAGCCATTAAAGAATCTATCTCGCAGATGATTTTATTATAACCTTCATTCCATGTTAGTTCGAGTCCATGGAGGATAGCTAAAATAATTAAAATTGTAACTAATTAAATAATACTGATAAGTTTAATTCATTTATTCTTTCTATTACTTACTACAAGAAATATCATATATAATGACATATAAAAAATATCATTATAGATATAAAATATATAAATATAAATTTATTTGACATATAGTTACACATAATTTTAATGTTAATTTTAAATGAGATTTAACAATATATATTGTGTTTCACTATAGTTCATACTTATATTTTTTAACAATATATCAATATATGTTGTATCTATATGAGAATCAAAAAAATATTACATCTATATATTGATAGAAGTATTTTTCAGTAATAAGTACTATCTTACTATAAGATGTGTGTTACATGACAATTTTTTTGTAATAACTATAACTAATATGTTTTTTTAATAGTTATGTAACTTTTATCTTCTTTTTTTTTTTTATAAATGAAATTGTTATACTTTCAATGAATTTTTTATTCCGATATTTAAAATAATTTTGCAATTGAAAAGAGCTTAAACTTTAAAACATGAAAATAACAATTTAATAAAATAAAATAAAAATCGTAAGACACGTCAGGTTATAATTTTGAAGATAACTCATTGTTTTAATTTTAAGAAAATATAATAATCGTGGAATAAAACAATATACTCTTTGTAAACATTAATTTCTCCATGTCTCTCTTAACATGTTTCCTAGATGAAGAACTTTATATATTTTTAGCATAAATTATGTTTGAGTTGAGTAAGAACATTATGGGGAAAAAAAATCTTTTTACACATCAATCTAACTGCATATTCAAGACCCGAATTAAAAATTTATGATTAAGTTGAGATAATTTTATATTAGCAGATTCATGAGCTCGATAAGTATGTTTGATTTGTATTCATAATTTTAAGAAAAAGAAAGAAAATGTCAAGTCAATATCCTTCATGTGTATTTCTATTCATCTCGTTATTTTTAAAATTAATAAGGACAAAAGCTGTAATCAATTGGTCGATATTCATTGTTACTACTTACTGATAAGTGTTTGCTTCGTGTTACTATAATAATTTGCATACATTTTATCCATAGAGATCGGCCTAACCAAAAAAATTAATTTCTCGTAGCGTAATAAACCATTGATCGATTTTATAGTAAATGGATATTTACATTTAATATTTAAGAACATATTTAATGGGTGTATTTTAAATATCTTATTTACTTTAACTAATCTATAATGCTACATTACATTTAAGCGATTTATAAAAAATAAAAAATTTATTTACATTTTTCTTTAACAGTATATCTTAAAAAGTAGTTTCACTCTTTTACATTTTTTTAATAATTTTTTTTATTTACATTTAAATGGGTCGTCCATAAACTTCTCTCACCTCTCTTTTCTCAATGTTTTTTTTTTGTTCGTAAGATATTATATCCCATTTTGATATAAGATACAAAGTTTTTATCAATCTTCCATTCAATATTTTCTTTAAATATACTTATAAGGAGATAAACAAATGTGCTAATTGATTGTCAAAACCAGGAACCAATTTTTCGAATGAGATTTTTTTGTTTGTTTGAGTGTTTGAGATAATTATCTCGTTTTGTCCTAATGGATGTTACAGGAATTATGTGTTTTAGAGGTAGCTAGTTTTTCTTTCTCCTCATTTTTTTTTTGTCTTTCACATTGATAAAATATATATATATA